TGTTCATCACGTGGCCGCGTTTCCGTCTAGTATATTTCTCTAATTGCCCACCTGTGCTCTGCTACTCACCCACAAATCTATGCACATACACACACATATACATATAGCACTTATTATTTTATCAAACACACATAAATCATCTACTCAACTGAATTGAAGCGTAACAGTTCCAACTAGCAGCGCCGGCAACAATCTGCCTTTGAAGTGGCGGCCTCCCTCAGCTAAACTCATTTGGAACGCAGCGTAAAAGATAATATTTTGATTTACTACAAACAGACTTCTCCTCAGTTTTTTTTTTTTATTTATTTATTATATTTTATTTTCAATTTTACTTTTTTCCTCCTACTTCTTTGAGTCCTTTACGGCAGCTGGCGCTGGTGTGGAGGGTATGTCTTATAACTAGAAAAATTATTTATTTTTACAACTGAATAAAAGTTCTCAATTGAAAGCCTTTAATATTTGTGAAGTGGTGAGCGGTGATGTTAGAATTTGTAGAATCAGTCAATCGCCAGTGGCATGCCATGTTGCTCTGTCTGTCTGTCCGCCTGTCCGTCTAATTAGCCGGAGCGGTTGTAAAGTAAAGAAATACCACGGAATACCTTTGCTGCATTTCTTCTGCTGCTGCTTTATTATATTTTATGCCTTTTGTTGTTTTTGGTTTTATATGCTGCAATTCGGGTTCCCTGTAAAGGCGAAAGTTCCTGCAATTTTAATTAATTCCTTCTTCTTCTTCCTTTTTTTCTGACCGAATCTCGTATTGCGCATAATCAGCGTATAAATGACCGGCGACCGCAAGTTTTAGCTCTTTTGCAGTCTCTAGGTTTCTTCACTGCATTCTTGGATTTCTTAGCAGACCAAACCCCACGCCCCGTCCTCTCTGGCTCTTTCATTGGTTTCACGGTTTTTACGAGCTGTTTGTGGTAAAAGTTAGCTTCTACAATGTAAGAGCAGTAAATTAATTTGCTGCTTGTGGTTTTACTGGCATTTCAATGCTATAAAATATTTATGTGCGTCTGCTTAGCTTTTGCAGCCAAAGGCAACTTGTTGCTACATAACGGTATATATATTTAATTATAAATAGCATGCAAGTGCATCATAGTTTGTTGTTTGGAAAGTAATTTCTTTGGTTTTTGTTGTGCTGTTCGAGTGCTCGAGTTGCCACTCGTGGGAAATATGAGTTGTAGGAGTGACCTCTGTATGTTCTCAAATTAATTTCCTTTCGCTTAGTCGATTTACTTAGTTTTCGTAGAGTTGAGGGGTTTACTATAAATGGATCACAATTGCAGCAAAAGCAAAGAAAATTTTTAAAACTGCCTGAAACATATTTTAATGAATTAAAATTTTTAAACACATTTTTCTATAATTAATTGAAGTAAACTAATGATTTAATTAATTGAGTAATAGTTTGCCAAAATCATAATTTCAGCAATTACATCAGTAAATAATGGGTGTTTTTTTAGACGTGTGGTTTTCGATGAGGCAATACTTTTTTAGGAGTTGGTCTGTCAGACAGCTGTTATTTGGTTTAAAATCAATTTTATTTGCGTTTTCATAATAAACAGACTTACTCCGGAACAACGTTTCCATCGCACCCTGCGTTTAATATCCGGTCTACACAATCGCCCAGCAGAGTCTATAATTCAAGCGACTATGGTTCCGTTTCGCACCACGTTTAATCTTGTGGATAATGCGCTTTCTCAGAAACGCCGTATAGTGAGCACCGAAGACGCTATTGTTGCTGTAGAGCAGAGTATCGAAAAAGACCCGAATGAGTCCATAAGTTCTCACGCCCAATAATTGGAAGACGTTGCCATTCTCGGGTGTTAAATTAAAAGAATGACGAAATTATTTATTGAGATATCGACCTTTTAGTGGTTTTCAACATAACCGTTATATGGGGTGTTGGTGTGAATATTACATTTTCACAACAAATAAAGAATTGTTGGAAATACTTCCCTTCGACAAGTTTCCTGATCATTTATATATACATGTATAACTCTATATCTATGTCGATTAGTTTTAGGTGATACAAACAACCGTTAGGTGAATACTCTGTAATGACATGTTGCGAGCGTATGAAAATTTCATTCCTTCGAACATTGCCTGACAAATATATCGAAAAAGGTGTGAGTGAAAATTTCAAGCCGATCGGTGTAGCCGTTTCGGAGAAAAATTTTTCACCGACTTCGAAAGTAGCGTTTCGAAAAACAAACGAGTTTAATTTTTTGGGAGACGATTACACGAAGTAAAAAAAATTTACAAATAGGTTCATATCTTCCAACGATTTGCCAACTTCAAATTATCAAAGAATATTTTACATATGCCAAAAAAAAAATTTTATTTTTTCGAAATTGATAAGATGATACTAGTAAAACCACTCAATGTAATCGGCGGTTAAATGGGAAATTTCTAAAGAGCGTTCATAACGCTATTTTAAATGACTTCAAAATTGTCGAAATTTCGTATGGATCATTTTATCTTTCTTGTAGAGTAAACTTACCCTGACCTTTTAACTTGCTTAGAGGTATTAAATATTACCATCAGCAGACGTCTAAGTTCTGTCATGATCTGTATCTAAGCAATATAAATAATTTCTTCCAAAAATTTGTCACGTGTCAGTCACATTGAATACATTAAAAATTAGGTTACTGAAAATAGCCAATTATTGCCGTTTATGCAAAGCTGTAGCTTCTTGAAAAATATTTATAGAAGCATCGTGCAGTTATTGTTTGTGCAGATTTATTTTCTTTTAGTGCGCGCACAAAAGTAGGCAAATATTTTTTAACAAACAAAAGATAAACGACTATATTCTAGTAATTTAATGACATTGGCTGTATGTTTTGTTATTTGCATAATTTCCATCATCTAATTTATCACATTTTCGAAAAGTTTCAATTTGGTTTTATTTAAGAACTAACCGACAGCATTTAAAAAGCAATTTAATAAAACTACTTTCACTGCATTTTAACTGAGATCATTTACCCAACTTGCAATATCTGTAAATCAATATTTTAAAACATTTTACTTATTCTCTTTGGCAAACATTTTTATTAAATCTCTCTCTGAAATTATTTGCCCGAAAAACCTTTTCAATCACGCGTAAGCTTTGTTTAACAATATTTGCAAAGAATCTTTATTAAATACAGCGAGATATTTATAAAAATGATTTTAATAAATTATTATACATCGCGATTTTCCAACATATTTGTATGTATATACATATGTATGTATATTTATTTTTTACTCCATTTCTGACTCATACGAACTGTGAGAAACTATAAATATTTCAGCTATTCCAATTAAAAAATGCTTTGCTGCCACTAAAAGTTTGATTGGCACTATAAATAATGTACATGTGTATGTGTGTGTGTATGTTTGCATGTTAGCATGTGTGCGCGGATTTATACAGATGGTGAATGAAATACTTGCTCGTGATATTATTTATTTGTTTGTCGATTATTTCATACGTGATTTTCACGCACAAAAACGCTTGGCCTTTGTGAAATTATTTATCCAAATATAAATTTCCAACATTTCGGTGTGTTTATATACAAAATGCGTGTCTCTGTTCCTCAATCGTTAGCAGTGTTATATTTCTTTAAAAGGCCTCACACAAATATTTCGAGTATTCGGAAAATGCACGCAAAGATAGCAAGCATTCGGTTGTGTTTAAAAAGAATTTTGGCGCGCCTTTGCGACTTACAAAGTGTTGCACAAATATGCCTGCGTACTATTGATAGTTATTTTTTATTCATGTTTTAAATATTTTTGCTTTAGAAGTATGATTGTAAATTATAGACACCACCAGAATAAAAAGTGTCAATCGTTCTAATACTCATTGAAAATGGAATAGGCATAACCATGTATCAGACAGGACGAAAAGTCGATGACTCAAATCGTTTTAAAGAAAGGAACTTATTTTTTGACATTATTTGATTTTAATCAAAATCGTTACTCATAGGCAGTTTTTGGTATCAGAAAAATAATTTTTTATTTTTTCAAAGACTTTAAAACATTATCTCACAAACCAATTATCTGAAATTTTCTTCATTTCACATTTTTCACGTTGTAAGATCTAACTAGAAAATATGTGGATTCAACTTTACTGTACCTGTTTCACTTCTTCCCGAGACCATGACCTCTACTTTTAGATGTTAGTTAATACTTTGGAAAGGTAACCAGCTTTCCACGGGTGATTCGACATTTTTGTTCTACGCTAGAGTTCATCCACCCTTGAGAAGTCGAAATACTTAGTTAATCAGTTGCTTTGTGGAAAACTACTTCTGATATATTTATTTCGAGAAAACCAGGCAGTTTTAGGAACTTTTACTCCACTTCACTTTCCATTGCCAACGCTGAGTTCTCATATATCTGTTTTATATTTGGTACATAAAAATCTTTGCAGTAACCATATCTGGCATGCTTTAGTGCATACTCGATGAGCTTAAAATGAGCTTTTTTCACAGAGTTTCATTAGCTTTTTGGCTGCAAAGTATCTAACTTGTAGCCGATTGGTTGAAATTGCTTTTAGTAAAGGTTTTCCTTGTTCTTATTAAGATCGCAACATATTACTACTTTTTCATGGCTTTAAGGCGTCTTAGTATCTTCTGGTGTAAATCCATTAACTTAGGCCGTGTTTTACAAGAAAGAGAGGATAATTGTGAATAGTTTTTCAAATAAGTTACATAAATCTAATTTCTGTGAAATGGATAGAAGTATGTGGTTATAAAATACAGTAACCTAGAGGTGTAGCCAGGAGCAACCTAAGGCACCTTGGGTATCCTAGGTTGACGGAGCTTTTGTGGTAACGTGACATAAAGGTTTTCTTTTTGTGTATTTCTATTTGATAAATCAGCAAAAATCATGCAGAACCTGTGCAGCCCATTTTTCCAGCTATTTCTCCAAATTTTAATAAATATATTTTTAGCAAACCGTCATACAAATAATAATACTTACTTTTCTATCTCTCTCTCTCTCTCTCTCTTTCTTGCTTACTGCAGAGTCTACGCAGCACGGCGTGGACGGCGGCCCTGTATCGTGGCGTTTAACGCTCGATCAGGATCTAATTGATACGCTCAAACGTAGCTTCCCAACCTGGTTTCAAGCGTCCGCCGGCAGTGACGGCAACAATACAACAAACACCACCACTACAACAACACCAGCGGCAGCAACTGTATTGACAACATCCGACGCATCAAGCAAAGAAGCGATCGAAAACGCAAAGCTTCCAACTGCAACAGTTGCCGAAACAAGCAAATGCAACAGCACAACAAATAACAACTACGACAACAACAACACCACCACCACCACCACCACCATTATAAATATCGCGAAGAGCGCAAGTCATTGTACGACACCCATTACCGTTGATACTACAAACCATTTGCATCAACAACTGCCATATCTACACCACGACCATCACAATCACCAACAACACCACCACCATCTGCTGCATCATAGTAACGGTAATAGCTTGAAGCGACATAGCAACGAAAGCAAAAGCATCACTTCACCACAGCTCAGCTGTAGTAGCGGTTACTCGGCGATTTTATCGTCCTCCTCCTCGTCTGCCTCTCCAGCGTCCTCGATAGCATCGAATTGCTCGGTAGCTTCGTCGAAGAAATCGACAGCAAGTCACAAGAGCAACAGCAGTAGCAATAGCAGTAGTAGCAGTAGTTCATCTTCCTCATCATCTTCGTCGAATTCGTCGAAATCTTCCACGTCCTCCACTAGCTCAGCATCTACGTGCTCGAAAGCTTCATACGCCGCGTCAAAGACAACATCCACGAAATCCGCTAACACCGTTAACGGTGCACAACACAAATCCGTCAACGCCGCGGCCACAGCTGAAACGGGGAAGAAGTGTGCCGCGACAAAAGCGGCTGTAAAATCGGCTGTCAAGTCGGTGGTGAAGGCGCGCGAAAAGTCCACGTCAACGCTTTCGACAGCCGTCGCAGCGTTAGCGACCGCGAACGCCTCCGTGTCGAAGACAATCACAAAATCCGCTTCACTGCACTCGCTGAGCAGCTGTTCCGGCGGCTCGACATCACTACTGGCAACATTCTCATCGCCCGGTTCGACAGCAACCACCGTCGAGCTTATATCGGATACGTCGTGTAACGCGCTCCTGACAGCTTCGCAGCTAAGTGGCAAAGTGGGTTTCGAGCACACATTTCAAGACGTCATACTGTTGCAGGAAGCATACGACGATATGTCAGAAGGTGAGTCGCCAAACGACAGTGATTGCGCGTAAAGCCGCTGATGGAATTGACGCATAATCGAAAAAATACATTTTATTCTCTCGTTATTTTTTTTTGTTGTGCTTTTGCATTCTTTTCATCTTCTCTTCCGTTCGTCTCGTTACAGGTGAACAACGCTTGAATGCGGCGGCGGCGGCATCATTCCTCAGCAGTGGTGGTATTAGCAGTGATGATGGCGCAAATTCCGATGGCTATGATGCGCGGCAATCACCGCCAAAGGCGATTGTCGATTCCAGTCCATTGCAGCCGGCGATGGATAAAAATAAAGAATGTAAGTGTTCAATTTTATTAGAGTAGTGCTAAAAAAGCACAAACAATTTTTTAAAAACATGTCAGGGAAGATTTTTTACGAGCGTTATGCAGCCAAATTGGCAATTTTGCGCATTACCGTAAATCATATTAAATATTTTTTTTTATTTCATATCCAGCTTCCGACCGTCCGTCTGTTCGTCTGTCTGTATATATACGAACTAGTCGCTTAGTTTTTAAACTATCGTTCTGAAATTTTGTACCTGTTCTTTTCTCACTAAGATGCTGCTCATTTGTCGGAACGGCCGCTATCGGACCACATATATAGCATATAGCTGCCATACAAACTGAACAATCGGAATCAAGTTCTTGTAAGACACCTTTGTATTTGTGAAGCATTTTATAGCTTCGGTGCAACCGAAGTTAACATATTTTCTTGTTATTTTTCTTTCTTCAACTGAGTGTTTGGTCCCCCTAATAGTATTTGTTGCTGCGAATGCCTGTAATTCGCAAACATTTAGCACTTTTGTTTTTCTTACTTAAATATTCGGTATTTGTGCGTTGAGAAGTTTGTGAGTCTAAACATCGTTAGCTCAGTTTTCCGTTTGCGACATTTTTTGTGTTTTTTTGTTTGTTGGAAATTTTTCAATGTTACTTGCTACTTTTAGCAATATTAAACAGTTTTTTCGAGTAAAATCGATACTTTTAGAAGGAAATATTTGAACGTACCCAATAGGAAAAGGAAAGTTACAAAATGTTATGGAATTTTAATTTCTTTCAATAGTCTTGAAGAATAACAATAAAATCGTAAAAATATAACTAATTATTAAAATATCATCATAACCAAGTTTCAAAAATCAGAATTCAAAAAACAAATACAAATTGATCGATCTAAATCCAGTTCTTGTAAGGAAAACTTTTTTATTTGAAGAGAAGTTAAAGATTTTTTTATACACTTTTATGTTAGAAGACAGGTATTATAGCTTCGTTGTAGCCGAATTTAATTTATTATATTTATTCTAAAGTATTGGCGATTAGACTTTTCTTATAATTTCTTGATATTTTTTTCTTTACTATTAAATATAACGATTTTAATCACAATAACTGGCAAATGCCATAAAATAGAAAAAATAATAATTGAAAACAAATTTTTGATTTTAAAAAGACTTTACTGTACTGCCGGAAGTACTTCAAATACACTTTTTATTAACTGAACAGGATACTTTAAGTTTAACACGATGTTTGTAGCACCCAAAAGGAAATGTCGGAGACCCTATAAGGTAAATACATATATATAAATGATCGAGCGTGACGAGCTAAGTCGATTTAGCCATGTCCGTCTGCTATCCGTTGTCGTAGCTTCGGCGCAACCGAAATTAACGTTTTTTCTGTTGTTGAAACTTTTTTCATCAACAATTTATTATTTCATAATTTAAGTTTATTTACCGGCGAAAAATGATTGGTGCAACACGCCAATTAGAAGCGTTAAATTGCATTATCGTTGCATTTCGATTAAAATTTATTTTACTACTTCAATAAATGCTAAGTTATAACTGTTTGCAACCGCATTTCCTACAGGGCCTTTCAATTCACATTCAAATTCAAGTTGTGTCGTTAGCGCAAAGTTCGCAATCAATGCAATATTGTCGTCACAAAAAGTTTGATATGTTTGCAGTCTATTAAGTTCTTTTATGCTCTTGACAGATTTTAATATTTTTTGCCTTTCGCAAAAACCAAATTGATGGAAGGTCAAAATCAAAGAGCTGAGAAGGGGTTGAAACCAGATTTTTCTGACATATTATTGTCAAGAAGAAGTTGTATAAAGGATGAGAAAGGCATGTTTTAAAACTATTTGGGCACGTTTTATTTCAATAAATTGCAAAAAATGTTTTTTATTTTTGTTTATCAGAAATTGAACTGTATTCTAGTCTCAGGTGCTTCTAAGAGTTTTTAGCTTGTCGAAAATGGTTATTTTTTAATTAAAAGGGTTTTAATTTAAAAATTGTACGTTTCGAAATAATTGTTTTTATTTGTATATTTATACCATGAACAGGGTATATTAAGTTTGCCAAGAATTTTGTAAAACTCCGAAGAGAAACTTGGACTCTATAAAATATATATATATAAATGATCAGCCAATGATTTTCTTATATTTTTTTTAAATTTAAGAAAGTACAATAGGTTACAGTTGAGTACTAAGAGAACTATTCTTCGAGCTTACGATTTTTGCAGATACCACTTTTAGAGAAGTGAAGCTGGTAGAGGGAAGGTAGAAAACGGATTAGGTGACAAAACTCATTATTTCACGGATTAAAAGCTACCAATAAAGTTCTATGCGGATTCAATACCACAGTATTCAAAATCAGTTTTTGTTGTAGTAGGGAAAAACATTCCCTAAATAATAATGAAAAATGTTGTTCATTTAGGCCGGATGTAAACCTAGGTCTGTTCCTGTTCCTCAACCATAATTGAGTTATATTTCATAATAATATTTTATTATACAAGCAAATAATTTTATCATGAATTTAGTTATGTAGAGCTCTAAGATTTTTTAATTTTGAACTTTCATTTAAATGAATTCAATTTCGTTACTCATGCATATTTCAAATATGAGTTTGCATTTAAAATGACACTAACTGTCATATGTAAATACGTAAATTTAGCTACCTAAAGCCCCTGCAGCATCCTCAGTAGTGAGCGAGTCACTGAAAATAAGGTTATGCAGAGAATTCAAATAAAAACATCTTTGTCATTAGACAACAGCATTAGCAGCGGACAGCTTTGACCAAAGATTTTTGTCATACATACATGAGTAAATGTATTTATATATAGGTATATACATATATAATATAATATTCATTTACGCCCATAATTCAAACACCCACTCGACTCATCATCAAGGCAAGGAAGCACTTGGATTTTCAGCAATTCATTGCTTTAATAAAATATGGTTTGCTGCCAGCGCCGCCCGTCATTGCAATTTGCCAACTGAAATCGGTGCATATGATTAAATTATTTACACGTGTATATATACATATATATATACCTACATACATATGCTATTTATCATTTTTCGGTCAAAATAAATATGTAAGTCACGTCGTGCCATTTGTGCAGACGCCTTGTGGGGTGGTTCAGAGCCGCTGAGTGATAGAGTAGGCGATGAGACACCATCTGCTGTTCAATCATCACATGGCTGTGCAATATATCTTAGACAGCTGAGTTTCCATGGCAAAAGGCAAATATAACAACTTGGTATACTTAACGGCGTCTTATTACAATTTAAGTTGTTGTTTTAATGAATCTTTAAATTTCCTTTGCTGTAACTTTACATGACTAAGGTAAACTTTTACTTAATTTCACGTGTAATTCTGATACATGTCTGTACAAAAGTGAACGCTATTTGACTTTTTTTTAAATGTTTTTTTTTTCAATTCTTATTTTTTTTCCGAAGACGAAAATGAAAATGGCGAAAATAGGGATCGTGCGCATTATTTAAGAAGTTTACGTGTGTGTTCCATTTTCGTGTAGTGATAATACGTTTATGCGAAATTTTGTTTTCACTTGTGATATTTGCTGTCTCATTGATGAACTGGCCCCACATGATAAACAAAAAACCTAATCTCCTTTAAATATATGGGTTCTGTCAGTTTAAAACTTTTTACAGCTCACCTCATCCCAAAAAATTTCTGTTTACCTTATTTTGTTCACCACACATGAGTGGGAGAAGAGCTGCGTTCTGAATCTTTATATATTATTAAGATTGGCACAGAATAAGAAAAAGCTTTTTACTTGATAAAAATCTTGATAAATTATTAATCTTTTGTTAAATAAAATAAGAAACCGCTTTTTACTTGATAAAAATTTTGATAATTTACCAATATTTTATTAATTTGTAAGTGCACAGAATAGAGTTGTAAATTTATGTAGTTTAACTGAACTTTCATAACCTTGACGTAATTTACCGTAACTAGCTTTAGTTAACTTGATTTAATTTAAAGGGTTCCGAAAATTTCATGTTGCTCCGGCAAATAGCTGCGGAGATATGACCATTTTTGTAAAAAGTTTTTAACTCAAATAAACTTTAAACACTTTTTTCCCGAAACGCTGTTTCCAGAGTCGTTGAGGTGAATTTGATTACAATGTTTAAATATATTTCTGACATAATTTTATTTGACTTCTTGTTGTCATTTTAATAAGACTTAACGTAATTTGACTTAACTCAATTTAGCTTCATTTGACTTTATTTGAAGATAAATAATTATTTCAGAATATGATATGATAATGCATACTAAAAAATGCGCTATTAATACTGCTCGGAATTTATAACAGCCCGTTAGGCGTGATTATAAAATTTAAAAATACTTCGTATATATTTCGCTTTCTTGCAGTCATTGTACGTTTAATTGAAATTTGTAACCAAATATTTTAAAACATTCTTTTTAAATTGAAAATTTTTTTTTTTTTAATTTTATGGTCAATTTCGCTTGTATCGGTGCCGCAGACTTTTATAATTTACAAGTTTTACTCGACTCGTGCATGCAAAACATATCCAAGCGCAATTAAAAAGTGTATATATGAAATAAAAATATATACATATATACGTCTATATACATATATACCATATATAGATGTAGATATTTGCGCATGGCTATGTACATATATTTGCGGTCATCGCCAAGTCGCTAACGAATGTTTAGAGCAAAAGCATTAGCGAAAATTAAAATAAACTTTTAATTTGCCTGAACTTTTGTGCTAAGCATTCTGCTGTAATGCTCACACTCAGCACGGCACATAAGCACTTAAGCACGTACATAAGTGTCTATATATCAGTTTCGTTTTGGAACGACTGGCAGTTATGGCTTGTCGAAGAATTGGTAAAATTGTAGCAATTAGTGTTTTATTGTTTTTGTTCATAAAAACTAAATTTGTCGCACATTATGTACAGTTAATGACTGCAGCTGTCAAGTCTGATGGAAAGAAAAATGTTCTTGCAAATAAAAGTAACGAAAAGTAACAAAA